AAGGGGCTCAAGGATAGTTCTTGGAGACAACTGCTGCTTGCAGTAAGCAAAATCTTAAAAACTTTCTTCTCTCATACAGGCATCATGATGACAGCTGCTTATTATAGCATGTGCTGTGCCCACCCTCTGGTTTGTGGTTTTGTCTCATCCATTCTCTTGTGTGACATGGAGGAAGTTAGTTTTGTTTGCTAGCTGCTTGTTAATTTCCCAGAGGTACACTAAGCAGTTTCCTTGCATTACCTAAACGATCACTAGATGTTATCATTTCTGTTCAACTAGATGAAAAAGAGTACAGTGCAGCAGAAATGAACTAATAGGTTTTATAATATCCGGAACACTGTTAACCACACGGAATCTACTCACTGTAAAACAGCGAGAGATGTAAACAGGAAGGAAAGACACAATTCTCTGAGCGTAGACCTTTGACACAGGCCATGTTCTGATTGGTCTAGGTCACATAAGGTTGCTTTCTTTATAAGTAATTCAAGATGTATTTTTCCCTTGCCATCTCTTAATGGCTCTCTACTTTGGCTTATACACACCAAAAATATTTTGAAACATAAATGTTTAACATCCACTTGCAAAGGGTAGAATTTTCATTTTCTTCCTCACTGGTATTAGTATAAAGCAAGACTTTAGTCACAACTGATGTAAAATGTGTAATATTATTCTCTTTTTCATTAGTGTGGAACCTTCTTTCTTCGCTCACTACCTCGAGAGATTGCGCTCAAAGTTGCAACTTCCTTGAGTTGCTCTCCACTGTACTCATTCAACTTCACTACACTGCCGTAACAAAACCTACTGCCACAAAAAGAGACTGCAAAGTCTGTATCAGAGGCTTCAAAACAGAGAAGACAAGTGCAAGCCTTTGTAATGAAATGTAGTGAGATAATAAAATGACTTTTATACTAAAATAAAGTTTTAGTGATCAAACAGTCAAGTAAAGAACTTGTAGAGAGAAAATACATAACACAAAGAAATAAACTATCAACGCTAACATGCAGACTAATCCTAAAGCAGACACAGTAAATCTTAAATTAGCACTAAAGTAAGTCAGTAAATTATTAGCTGTTGTGGGTTAAGAGCTCGTACTAATTAAATAGTTGACTTAATAAAACTCAGCATGACACCCCACAACTAAAGTCAATCTGGCTTATGGTAACACCTGTTAATACCAGCGAAACATGCCAACTATGCTTACCCTCCAAGCACTTGATTTTTATTAGGGAGTGAGCAGGTGATTAGTGAGGGAATGCTAATAAAGGGTGTTTATTAGCACGGGGATTACACAGGGACACACTTTCAACACAGGCCACTAGAGTGTTGGATTATATTAAATTGACGCTATGGCACTTGAAGTGAGGGAAAAGGCTTTAGAGCTAAGCCCCCGTAGTATGTAACTAAACCCAACATTCATACAGGAAAGTGCCACACAAAAAGCAGAAAATGTATGCTCTCCAGATGGCAGCGATGGTGTCAAGATAATGATAATGCAGATGCTCACAGCAAGATGGTGAGAAGAGTGGGCCAAAGGAGATAATAATCATTTAGTGGCAAGAATAAAAAATGTGGTTATCGCAGTTCAACATCAAATAAACCCCTGTGGGCGTTGCTATTCTAATTTTGTTTTAGAAAGGGCGATGTCATATTTATAAGAAATGTAAAATAGAAAATCAAATGAATAAAAATAAGTAAGCACCTGCAAGTCTCCATGGAAACGTGACAAGACGATTCAAACCTTATCTTTTTGTACATACTGTTTAGGGTAATTTCTCCATCCAGAGCAAAAAGGTCACACTCTGACTGTAATGTGAAACTTCAAATCCTCTGTTTTCTCTCTGACCTCATACAGTATACTTCATTTATCTCACAGTCACATTCTCACAGTTCTGTCAGCTGAGGCGGAAATTGTTCAAACCACTGGCACTGCGGGGGACAACAAATCACCTGCCTTGACACTTTTTTCTGTGAGACAGGAAGCCACAGTGTCTTTAATCTATAGCCGATGGTGTGAGTTTCAGTATGGGCACTTGAGAGCAGGAGGGTGACCCTGGGAATACAGAGGGAGGGAATCCAACATCAATCTTCATTCTGAGCAGGGTCAATGAACGCTAAAAATAAACACATTAAACTGACACTGACAAAATACCACAGCTTGAACTATGCACCGACGGACACCTCTTTACACAGAGGTAGCTACACATTGCAAAGAAAATCTTTAGATCTGTTGATTCTCTGTGTCCATTATAATATTCTGTGCAAAATGGATGGAAAGATAACCCTACAAGCAAACCACAAACCCCTGGAGATCATGCAAAACCATGATAAAATATTAAAATACTTGTCTGTCTTAGTAGAAAGTTCTACAAACGCTGAGTTAAACTGTTATTTTCCTGTATAGCACTGACTTCAGACCACTCTTAATCTGATGTGATTGAATAGGGTCTGACATTCGTGTTGCCATGTCTACTAAATATTTAATTAGCTCAAAGTATAGTATTTCTATAACATGCATGCTGAGAGTCTGGGTGAGTGTATGACTCAGATGGCTCTATTATTATCTGGTGCGGAAAAACAGGATTATAATTACAATATTTGTGTTCGTCTATTTTATGTACTATTTTTTTATTTTTTTATTCACATGTTGTTTGATGCCTCATTAACCTTAGCCACTGCTATATTCACGAGCCACCTAGTCTCGTTGGAAGGTGTGTAACTGACTGTGCTGCTGAGGTCGCGACTTCAGCAGAAGTTTGTGCAGTCACTGTGGCTAAGCTAGCTGCTCGATGGTCAGTAAATATCTCCACATTGGAAGGCTGCCATGTGATTGATGTCGCATTTTCTGTTTCTACATCTGTAGAAATGATGACGCTGGGCTGAGTAACGAAAGAAAAGTGCGGTATTACTTTTGCCACTGAGTAATTAGTAAAGTAATGCAGTTACTTTTTCAAAGAGTAATGTGCATTCTGGTGCCTTTGAGACGTTGACATTTTAGATTTAGTTTAGTTTGGTTTTGTTGAGACATGCACGTGTAGTTTGGGTACAGATGATTTTTTTTCTTTATTGGGCTTTAAAAAAAAACAAACACCAAAAGTAGAAGTTCCTTTTTTCTACTGCATTACGCTGTCATATTGCATTCAAGCTAATAGGATTCACCTTGGCAGTGTCTCTAATTCTTATGAATTACTTTTGAGCCCTCCCTTGAGACAAGCTGGTTTACATTTATAGATCCCACCTGGAATGTGCTTTTCCACTTAATGCATTTACTGTAGTTGACACTCTACATATTGCAGTGAGTGTGCAGGTGGGAAATCATTCTCAAGGAGACGATGATGAGACACACTGTTGTGATGGAGACGGAACCAGTGAACTTTAGCAAAGTCTCACTGTGACACAATTCATAAGAACCTCTGTTCGTAGGGATTCTATAATGCACCATAAATCAAATTACATCAGGACATAACAAAAAAACATCTGCAGCCTAAAAGGCACAAAGAAACTGTTTCATACTTTACTGACTTCTATCAAAGGTCGGTAACAACAGTAAAACAAATGTCTTCATTCCAGTAATTCCCTATGTAGCCAAAGCAAGTAGTAGGGAGGCCATATTTCAATTGTATATTTTAAAAAATGTCAAATTGTTGTCTTATTTCACTGTTTAGGTACAATCAATGTTCTGTTCCTGATCCCCCCGAACATCAACCTCACGCTGAGAGGAATTAGAGAACAGGAGACAGAGACAGATTGTGTGTGAGCGAGGGCTGCTGAGGGAAGGTGAGTGATTTATTACACACAGACCAAGCTTGGTTACTCAGCTATTGTTTCTGATGCAAACTTCCCTACATTCAAAAATCTCAGGTTTTCACTAGATATCAAGGAGACTACGGAGTCATCTATTTTTCTAAGGAAATTAAACAATACATTTCCAACAGGGTTGGCTGCTTGAGAGAAGTTAGCACATTGTGTTGAGAGCATGGGTTTTAAAAGAAAGGCTGGCAAATGGCCAACAAGTCATCTGATGTTAATCTTGTGTAAGAAAGCATGCAAAAGTGGAACAAAATCTAAATATCTCTGGTTATATGTACTTTCAAGTTAAGATGATTTCTAATTATTCCTAATACAACTCGTTATTCACTGTACAATAACTGTTCTCAAGTATAGTATATATAATATAGATATGTATGTATATCTTAGTACAACAATATACTTCAAACATGTCCAGAGTTCAGATTTGGTTTCTTGATAGCTTTTTGTATCTTGAAAGCTTGAAAAAGCTCTTTATAATTATGTGCAGTAATTGGGAATATTTGGCAGGTGACTCTACATTATTTGGCGCACAAATCCCAAAGTCTCCGAGCATCACACCTCGAGTGCTGAACCTGCAACACCCCACATCACATACAACTCCACTCCAGGGAGGCTGGCTATTATTTCCAACACAGCACCTGCTTCTGTTGCAACTTATGCCACCATGATTTGTACGTCTGCTACCGCCAGTTGAGGCGCAGAGACAAGCAACATCGGTTTTATTCATGGAAGGGAAAAAGTGCAGGTGGGTGCAGACTCATGAGAAAAAGTGCTGTCGGCAGGACGCTGCCCTTCAGCTTGCTATGGACACCCTTCAGTCTGGACCTCAGGTAACCCTCGCACACAGCATGTGAAGGTCAGTCATAGTACACCTCTATCACAAGAGGAAAAAGAAACACCGCTGATAAACACAGTTGATAAACAGTTCCACACAGCTAACCTATGTTAAATAACTCCGACCAGGTGCTGATGAGGTGGTGATTGAGCTAAAGTACTTCCTGTCCTCTCATCCCTCTTGGCACTGCCTATGAACAAAAATTTCAGGCATACTTGCATGCACACTGAGCTGCCATATTCATTTTGCACATTCATTCAAGCACATTCAAGGCAAACAGCAGAATGACTGTATGAGCATGCAGCTTTTTTTTGTCTTTTTTGCTAAAAGCTGTGGAAAAGGAGCTGACATACGTTACCTCAGTGAGTGGAGCAAGGACTGGTCGCTGGGTGAGAGTCAAAGATCATTCTGCCAGTGCCATCTGTCAAGCAGGTTGGGCACAAAGGAAGTAGGAGCAAGTGTACCTCTCCCTCCTTCCTGTGCGCCTCTCTCGCTTCACCAAAAAGTCTGGTGTTACATTAGAGGAGAAAGCCGTACTCCACAAGCGGGGGGAATCCTCTGTCAGACTGAAGCCAATCTAAAGCCAGTTTAAATCCCCAATGAGGAGATGGAAGGATGCACCTCCCTTTTCCTGGGGAATTGCGACTTGCTCCTGCTCCTCTCTCTCTCTTTCTCTCTGTGTTTCTTCTGTCTCCTTCTCTGCTCTCTTCCACTCTCCTTCCTGATCCTGCTCCGTTTGTACACTCGCTCGCTCGCGCACTCTGGCATGCATTCTTATCCAATGTGGCTCAGGCGCCCACCGACACACACACCGACCGACACACACACACACACACACACACACACACACACACACACACACACACACACACATACTGTACGCACAAACATATGCAACACAGACGTAACTGCAAAAAAAATCCTGTCTGCTTCTTCACTATTTGTCTAGAATCTAATTAGCTACTTCCTGCTGTTACACAGTGGAACATGTGTTGTATTCCTACTATCGACATATTCTCACACATATCACAATATGTGGGTCAGAAAATGTAAGCTCTTTCGGCTTTGAAAAATGTTTGGTCTTTGTTACCGCTGTAATTAAACTGGATTATATTCATCCCTTGCTTTACGGGTGACAAAAAATTTCTCACACATTCAACCATTAGCAATGTGTGTGGCGGGATTCAGACTGAATGGAGGATGCCTCTGCTGTGATGTAAAAATGGATATAATGAATAAAATAAATCTTTCAGAATGAGTCACTGTACAGTAAGACTTCCCTTGCAAATCCTATTTCCTCATGATCACATGAAAAAATAGGCTACATTGCATGTATGTGTGTGTGTGTGTGTGTGTGTGTGTGTGTGTGTGTTTGTGTGTGTGCCTGTGTGCATAAAGCTACCGCACGCGCGATTGGATAGTCTCTAGAGATGTTCTATTTTGAGCCTTAAGCCGTAAAGCACAACAGAAAAAAAGAGGACAGCAAGGCGCTATTATGAGTCTCCCCTAAAACTACACCCCCTCCTTCCGACCACCGCCACTACCTCCCCATCTAGGTCTCTCCATGCTTAAAATCTCAATGCTTTAAGGGGAAAGCAGCAGGAGGGAGGGAGGGTGGAACTGAGTTGTCTAAGGGATAAAAATACCGCTGGAGTGACCTGAGCAATTAGCAGGTGGTAGGAGAATGGTTCAGTGGCTAACATAATGACAGGTATACAACAGTAGACTGGGATATTGGACCAATCACTAGAGAATGTATTATTTGCTTTTAAAAAAAAATAAAAAATCTACACATGAACAAACACACTAATACACAAATATCAGCCCTCGTCTAGTTGGTTTCACCCTTGCACAGTGACAATACAATGAAAAGTCAACCATGCAACCAACCATAATATCCAACAATAAAGTTAAAAATGTAAATGTATGGCGCCTGGTTACCTCAGTCGGTAGAGCTGGCAACCCATATACGGAGTTGCTGCAGCGGCCCGGGTTCGAATCCGACCTGCGGCCCTTTGCTGCGTGTCATCCCCTCTCTCTACCCACCTTTCCTGTCTATCTTTGGCTGTCCCTATCTAATAAAGGCACGAAAAGGCCAAAAAAATAACTTAAAAAAAAACAAAACAAGTAAATGTATATAGGTCTATGTATAACCAGCCGACTGAAGCTGCAATCAAACGAGCCTTGAAATTCTTCCAAGAATTAAAACAGCACAAACAATTCATTGTGATTAAAAAGTAAAGCATGGCAGCTCTAATCTGTAGATAAGCTCAAGGTTTACACAAAGATGGAAGTCACCTGCCTGCCGCCCTACTGCCAACAGGCGGCTTGGGACCAATAAAACCCACACATAACATTCTCTCAGTTTGGGAAATGCTTTTTCACTATTTCGCTCTGATCAGAAGACCCCTTAAACAGCATCTTTGCAGTGCAGTGCAGTTGTTGAACACATACGCTGTCTTGGGAATTTCTTTGGTTAAAATGAAATGTTTCATTATTAAATGTACCTTAATGTAATGAGCTCTAACTGTATCCTATTTATTCACCACCATAGTTTCATTGGTATTTCTTTGATATTGATAGATGTAAAGTGATTTTGTGATATTTATTTATGTGTATCTGCTTGAAAATCTGACAGTATAGACTGGCCATTAGATGTGCAACCATTGTAGAAAACCCACCGGGCATGCAGGGCATTAAAAGCTTTGTTGCTATGGAGTCTATCAAACTGAAAATGATTGTATACTTATTTCACCATTTAAATTACACTTAATTTTTCACCTTATTATTTTTTGATATTTTGAATCATAAACTACTTTAATGTGCTCACGTTGTTTTTCCCTTTTTCCACACACACACCTAATTCTCTCTTACTGCAGCCCACCACTTGCCTTGACTTTCAGTAATTTTTTAAAGTCGTCAAAACAACACATTTTGGATTTTTTCATGCACGATTCTGTTTCCACAGCTGCAGTCTCATGAGAGTCTCATGTCCTCTTCACCCACGGTGAAAAACTTTCACACCGAGGACATGATTTAGCGTGTGTGTGTGTGTGTGTGTGTGTGTGTGTGTGAGTTTTCTCCGTCACTGTGAACATGAACCACCACAGCATTTGTCCAAATCTAAGTAAGTAAATTTGATTTATAAAGCACATTTAAACTTAGCATAAACTGACCAAAGTGCTGTACAGTGGATAACTAAAAACACAAATAATAGAGAAAAAACACATCGGACCAATAGTCAATAATTCTATAAAACATGAATAAAAATATGAGAGTAATCAGCCGATTCACTTTCAGGAATGAACATGAAGTAGTAACTTATAATTAATAATTTTCCTGATGTGTACAAATACCTCACACTTTGAAATCTAAACATTAAAATAGTTACAAGTTATAGTATATACTATATATATATATATACTAACGTTACTGCTAGCAAAATACTATCTGAGTAGATTTGTTAATTGCCTAACATTATTTAGCAAAATTACTTAACGGGCTAACGTGATCCATGACACTAACTTGTGTATTATGACAATTATTATAAAAATGTATAATAATTAGCCAACAATAAATGATGTAATGGAAGGGCCTACAAAGCAAACACAGCCAACTCTAGCCTAAGCTAAGCCGGGGTTGGCTATTCAGTGTCGGTCTGCCGCTGGTTGCTTTGTGGTGTTGGCTGATGGGATGATTTGTAAACGGCAAGCTAGTTAGTAGCGTGGAGTCAGTGGTCCAAATAAAATACAGGAACACTGCAGATAGTAACGTTATTCTAAATGCGATTGTAATTTGTTTTCCAGCCTTCAGTCACTTCTGGCCACTTAAGGACTGTGTATGGAGCTCAGGCAGCAGGTCGCTGACTGCAGTTCACTTAATGGCCACTGGTGTCACTATTAACAATGTTTTTCTGTTACAAATAGAACCTTTACGTTTCTGTTGCGGTGTTTGAAGAGGTCCCTCTGCAAAATTGTGTCTCTCTGCAAAATTGTGTTTCAGCAGGCTGGCTATGAGGTCAGACTGACAAATCTTTTTCTCCTGCAGGATTACAGGTCAGCTCCACCATTTGATGGTTTCCGCCGTGTACCTGTAATAATGATCCTGCTCTCTCTGTATCTCTCTTTTTTCCCCCCAGCATGACACCCTCAGAAGTAGCCTTCTTTTGGGCTTTTAATTTGGTTTAGAAGAAAGGACATACAGCACCAGGCCAACATGACCATGAAACATAGGTCAGTTTGACCCAGCCCCTTTGTGTGATGATGATGAATGATAAAGATACACTAGCAAATCTTCATTGTCTCAGATTCTAGATCTTCTTCACCATTAAAATAAATACACACTTTTGTGGGGTTTTTTTATTCCATGAATTAGCACAATAAAATTACCATCTGCCATGCTAATATACTAAAATGTCAGTTTAGACATTCATTCTGTGAGTAACTTTAACTGGTGTCTGTGCTCTGCCAAAGATTTATGAGGTAAAAGAAGCATCACTCTGTAACACTGCTAAATAATTTAAGCTCATCAACCTAATATTTTTGAACCAGGCCTTCAGAATTTGGATCAAGTAGCTCATGAAAAATAAGATGTGTCAGGCAAAGTAGACTTCAGCTGTTATTTGAATGTGTCAGATACGTATTTTATCAACATTTAAGTATTGGATAGGATACTCAATACTTGAACCAGGGCCAAGTAAACTTGATTAATTAACTACTGTAAACAACTGTGTCTTGTTTCTCACTCAGAACTCAACCTGTGTTTCCATCAGATCTAACAGACACTTTAAATGGATTTACAACCTCAAACTAATTTGCACAGCCCTTTTTTGAATATTTTGTTTACATGTTTACTTTGGCTTCTATGCATTTGTTTAATGGCAGATTGCTACCTTTCTGCGGTGTGTCACACCACCAGCTGTCAACATGCAGTACCACTCTCTGCCGTAAGCAGAGTCTATAATGTCACCCTCATGCTTGTGTCCATTAGATGCAAACAATGCATGTACCTGGCTCCTCAAAACGTATTTGTACAGCACCACCACTAGTGAAAATGTCCACATGGTACCTTTACCTGTACCTGTCATTCGCTTAATTGATCCTGGACTTCTGTTATGTAACATTGAGAGCAGCTATGGTATGCATACTGTGATGAACTGATATGCTACTGGTGAATTACACTACCTTTTAAACAGTAAAAGCAAACAAATTATTAGGACAATAGTCAAACTATAAATAGTGGAAAAAATATTTGTTCATATTTGAAAAATTAGCTGAGATGAAATGCAAAATATCTTCCAGCCATAGTTATCCAGGATATGGAAGAGATTATAAATAATAAATAAAAAAATGTTTTTTTCCTGCCAAATGCATTATCTCTGTAAATACAATTGTGGTACCTTTTTAGTATACTTGAAACATGTATGTTAATACCAAAAAACATATTGGTCATTACAGAAGATTAATAACTTTCTGGCATATTTTGTGGCAAAACATCTGATCAAATAGTGATCAGTAATAATAAAATGATATTCCCACCCAGCTGGGATGATGGATGCACTATTAGCAGATGGTTCCTGACTTTGCATTTCCACTGTGTAGCTCATAGTCTGGTGAGCACCAGCTCTTTAGCTAATCTCATCATTGAAATCAGCAGTGGTTGTAGTTGGTTGTCGTTTTTAATGCTCAATTTTTTCCTTTTACATTTGCAAGTGTTGTTCTAACTCTATGGTATATTTTAGT